CACAAAATTGCTATTGATCGAAGCCGAATAGAGTAAAAAATCCGTCGTTGTTTCCTCCCGAACGAAATCGCTCACTCATGCGACAGCCATTTCGTTCGAAAGCAACCTACAGCCTCCTACCGTCATGCTTAGCGGGCATCGCTATTACGCAAGTGGTCAATTCAGCCCTGTTGACCAGGATAAAATTTCAGCCCTGCTTTACTACTATAAAATCCCAATAAAATCCCAATAAAATCCCAATAAAATGTGTGATTACATGACAAATTTTCAACCCAAATGAAAATTCAAGTGAAATTTCATCCCGGTTGAACTCACTAGCCCCAGATACTCACATGCATAATTAACCTTGGGGCTGAAATCGTCCATGTATTATAAAAATTTTCCAGCCCATTCAACAGTGCTTGATTGATATTGATTCAACCCAGGGGTTGATAATGTTTTCTATAATCAGTCCTTAGTTGCTTATATAGATACAGTTATGTAACACTGGTGTTTGTTTTTTTCTATTGTAATAGTTGTAAGTTAATTGTTAAAAACATTTGTTATTCATATGAACAAAAATTGCTATTAAAATTATATTTTGAATGTTTGGATTGACTCTCCTTTCTTCCAGCAGTATTTATAAGCAATTTAGGGTGATTGTGGATATAAGAAAGGGTGTGGTAAGAAAAGGTCAAATCGAAAATATTGTTTAAGTGGTTGGCCATAGTTTTGGTCCTTAAATTACTGGTATAAATGTAATATCACATCTGCTGTGATATTGTTACCACATTAATCTACTATGGTGCTACCTAGTTATAAAAAAAATCTCTTTTTCTTTATAAAAAAATCCCTAGTTATAGTTAAAAATCTCTTGAAAAAGAGTCGTGAAAGATACTTTTCCAACCTCGGCCAGAGTTGGTATCTAAACCCGAAACGCTTTTGGAATCTGTTTAAAGTAAAATCCCAAACCAGTACTATCCCACAATCTGTATCGTGGACAGTAGGAAACGACACAAAAGTCGCCAACAACACGACGACTATCGCTAATATGTTCAATAACTACTCCTCAGTATCGATCGCTCCACAAGAAGATCTTCAATCTAACAACGCTACTACGACAGATATAAATGACACTATTTCTTCTGGTTCACCTACGCAGTCAATAGATCAATTATCAGTGACGGAAAGTGATGTTCTGAGAACTCTAAAATCTCTCGACCCAGATAAAGCATTAGGACCAGATGAAATCCCTGGTAGAATTCCGAAAGTAACAGCCAACCAAATTGCTCCGTCGCTCACTCGCTTGTTTAACAAATCTCTCCAAATTGGGGTAGTACCCGATGAGTGGAAGCTTGCAAATGTCGTTCCAGTATTTAAAAAAGGAGAAAAGGATCGCGTAGAAAACTACAGACCTGTTTCTCTTTTATGTATAGCATCGAAATTGTTGGAACGATGCATATTAAACCACCTTACTAAGGTGGTGACCTTAGATTCTATCTAGAGAACATAATAAATCGCTGTCAGCATGTTTTACTCCCGGGAAATCCTGCACTACTCAACTCATCCAAGTTATAGATACAATTGGTAAACTTCTTGATCAAGGAGAGCAGATAGATGTCGTTTATCTTGATATGTCCAAGGCATTCGATAAAGTGAATCACACGAAGATGATCGATAAACTCCGCAGTTTTAGATTCAACGGTGGCTTACTTTCTTGGTTCCAGTCCTATCTTCGCCATCGTCGACAAAAAGTGACAGTGTTAGGATCAACATCTACGTCGACGCCCGTGACATCCGGAGTACCATAAGGATCTATCTTGGATCCAATCCTGTTTCTGCTTTACGTCAATGATCCGATGCGATATCCTTGTCTACAATTGCAACTTTTGCAGACGATACCAAATTGTTCCAATGCATATCGTGTGAAGCAGACAGCTCTCTCTTACAAGAAGATCTGACCAATATAAACAACTGGTCATCGTCTTCTGATCTTATGTTTAATCAGTCTAAATTATGTAAAGTTCAGACAATATCGCGTAAACGAAAGCCCATTATGGCCTCATATTCCACGGGAAATACGCAGCTCGACCACTGTTTCCAAGAACGTGACCTTGGAGTATGGATCTCGTCTGATCTATCGTGGAAGAAGCAGGTAGAATCGCAGAGTACAAAAGCAAACCAGATCTTGGGGTACGTGAAAAGAACAACAAAAAATTTAAAGTCCCTCACAACAAGACGAACAATTTATTTAACAATTGTACGTGCTCATCTTGGTTACGCGACGCAAGTCTGGGCGCCTCAAACTGTAGAGCAAATGAGAAAGATTGAACGGGTTCAGCGACGTGCAACTAAATATATTCTCCATCTGCCATTTAACTCCAGACGTCTCATACAAAGACAGACTAATTCAATGTAACTTAATTCCATTAACTTACTGGCATGAGTACTTAGACATGGTCTTTTTCTTCAAACTAATAAACAATCTTATCCATGTGAACGATACTTTCCTACCGAAATCAAAGAAATCTGAGAGATCAACAAGATTGTCGCGTAATGCGGTTGGTACTACCTTCAAAGAGCAACGATACAGAACATCAACGTACAGCAGATCTTACTTAATACGATCAACACGGACATGGAACGCACTACCGAAAGAAATAACCCAAAACCACAACAAATCTTCTCTTGCCACTTTCAAGAATATTCTGAAAGAATACTACTACTCCGCTCTTCCCTTAACTTTCGACCCTGACGACCCACGTACATGGAAGACAACCTGTGTCAAATGTAACTGTGTTCGAAGTTTGCTGGTTCCCCCTTCTTGTTGTTTTTGAACCTCGCGCAACTGATTATTTATATTTTGGTAAAACCAGGGCCTTTCCATACCAGATAATTCCAGATCGCGGCTGTGGACGGGCATCTTTCAGGTTATTTTCAAACTGGATTGTGTGTAAATTTCAGTCACTGTGTTTTTTAAGGTTTTTTCATATCCATGCTATTACATTGTATGGAAAGGTTTTGCTTTTACCAATGGTAAAATAATATATTTTTTATAAGTAAGTGTCTGATTGCTTGATCTCTTGGTTGGTTGATTGAACACGTCAATTGAACAGTTCGTTAATTGATTGATTGATTTTATTATTTAGTCCTTTTCCGTTTACTGTTCAGTAAACTTAACTAATTTAACGAATATTGTGAAGAAGGATCCGCAGTAATTGGCTGTAGCTGTTGCGGAAATCCTGCCTTGTTTATATATATAGTAATTAGATGTTTCTTCTTAATATTGTTACCAAGGCAAAGTTAGATAAATTAAATTAAATTAAATTACTCACAGCTCTTCCTATGTATTTTACTTGCTGGTGATGTTGCCATCAATCCTGGACCGACCATAACTTCAAATCGGATATCTGATTTAAAATCGAACCCATTAAACGCTCTCTACCTTAACGCAAGAAGTTTAAAAGCCTTTGTTTCCTCAGATAACGATCACTTGTCTAAAGTATGTAAGATTACATTGCTACAAAATCTGGTCTGCAGTGGAACATATGACTTTATCTGTATCTGTGAAACATGGCTTAATGAAACTGTTCTCAGTAGCGAATTGTTACCTGGATACTCTATTTTCCGTCGTGACAGAGTGGAAAAGATTGGTGGCGGTGTGCTTGTTGCGGTAAAAAGTAATATACATGCTACTCGTCGAATGGATCTTGAAAGAGAAAATGTGGAACTTGTTGTCGTAGAATTTGCCATGGAAAGCAACAAAACAGCTCTCCTGTATACCTTTTATCATTCTCCTAATTCTTACCCTGATGTAAATACAACATCTAAATGCATCGCTTCAAAGTAATCCTGAATCTAGCTGCATTATCTTGATAGGAGACTTTAATCTTCCAGCAATTGACTGGTCTCTCGATCAACCAACGCCTGCAACTAATGGAGGTCAACTTGAAGAGTCATTTTGTGATTTGGTAGCTGATAGTTTCCTACAACAATTTATCTCTGGTTCCACGCACATTGATGGTAACAAGCTTGATCTGCTGCTCTGTAACTGTCCTGAGATTATCAAAAACGTATCATCACTTCCACCCGAACAATTAACTTTTCCAACCGATCATAACATCATCGAATTCGAGGTCCAACATTCGTTTCGTCGTGCTAACCCAATAACACGCACTGTCTTCGGTTATAGGCGGGGAAATTTTGATGAGCTCCGCAGTTACTTAACACGCAAGTCCTGTGAAACTATTTCATCTGATGATATTAACGAGTGCTGGTCACAATGGAAAGAATGGTTTCTAAACGCTGTTCAGAAATATATCCCTGTTAAAAAAGTTAAGGACAAAAACTCGCCTCCCTGGATTGACGGAGAAGTAAGATACCATATTCGAAAGAAATATGCTGCTCTGAAGAAATATAGGAAAACTCGAACTGACTATCGTAAGCGAAAGCTGCGTGAAATAAGTCAAACTATCAAATATCTAGTTCGAACGAAACATCGTGACTACTTACTTAAGATTAAGGTGTCTTTCCGCAGCAACCCGAAACTGTTCTGGAGCTATCATAAAGCTATTTTTCATCACCGGTCAACTCAAAACGCTGTCATTTCACATAATGGCATTGTGGCAAAAACACCTACTGAGAAAGCCGAACTTTTTAACTCCTACTTCTCGTCAGTTTTCCAACCTTCAACGACTAATGAAGCTACTAACTCCCGCAATTCTCGACTACCAACTGATTCACAACTAAGTGAGATCACGCTTGATGTCGAAGAAGTTGTAAACAGTCTGTTGAATCTGAATGTTTCAAAAGCTAGTGGCCCTGATGGAATTCCTGCCCGCCTTCTGAAAGAATGTAGTCATCAAATCGCTCCAAGCCTTTGCACTCTTTACAACCATTCACTAAGATCTGGACATATTCCTTCTGAGTGGAAATCAGCAGATGTTACTCCAGTGCACAAGAAGAATTCCAAAGAACCAGCTGTGAACTACAGACCAATCTCGCTATTGCCCATCATTAGTAAGACCTTAGAACGGTGCATTTACTGGAGATTTTATGACCATGTTGTGAACCTTATCAGTCCACCTCAACACGGTTTTCTGAGAAATCGCTCGTGTGTCACCCAACTCCTATCAGCTTTCCACTCTATCGGGCAAGATCTAGATAAGAATACTCAGACTGATGTCTTGTACCTGGACTTCGCCAAAGCGTTTGACTCCGTTGACCATAATATCTTACTGGATAAGCTGCGTTGGTACGGCGTGACAAGATCTGTTCTTGATTGGTTCGCTGACTATTTAAACGGTAGGACTCAGAGAGTTGTTGTGGATGGAGTAGCTTCTGCATGGTCATCAGTCACATCAGGTGTGCCTCAGGGAAGCATTCTTGGACCAGTTTTGCTCATTGTATTTATTAACGATCTCCCAGACATCATACATAACGGAACTGAAATTGCCCTGTTCGCGGACGATACGAAAATTCACAGACATATTATCTCGACTCGCGACTGTGAAAGCTTACAACATTCATTGGTCAAGTTAGATCTGTGGAGTATGGAAAACAATCTCTTCTTCAATGCCTCTAAGTGTAAAGTCCTCACCGTCACACGAAAGAAAACGCCTATCATCTACGAATACACCCTTGGGACCGAAAAGCTAACTCGGGTTGACCATGAAAAGGACCTTGGTATTACGACTACTACAAAACTCTCATGGAAACTACACATAAACACCATTGTTGCGAAGGCCAACAAAATGTTAGGTATACTTAAAAGAACCTGTACTAGTATTACAGACAGGAGGGCATCCAAGTGGATACTAATGAACAGAGAGATGCCTTACAAAGAACGGCTGTCGTCGTTAAACCTGCTACCATTAAGTTACGATAGAGAAATGAAGGACTTAACATTCTTTTATAAAGCTTTATTTGGTTTTATAAACGTGAACTTGAGTAACTATGTGTCGTTTGTCAGCCATGGTCGTACTCGATTGAGTCTTTCCTCTGAGTATATCCTTCAAAACCCACTGTATAAAACTACCACTTTTCAATCCTCCTACTACAACCGTATTGTCAATATCTAGAACACTGTATCTCAAGAAGTATCTCTTGACAGTTTCTCTAGACTTAGTTCTTTTAAATGTTATCTCAAGCACAAATATTCAATCTTAGTTAACTCTATTTACGACGCAGACGTGTCTTGCACGTGGTCTTTGACTCGGGAATGTCCTTGCCACAGGTCCTAACTGTTTATTAACATTATGTAATAATAAACGTTTAACTTAATAATACCATTATATAATATATAATATAAACATAACACAGCATAATATAGTTTGTAAACCTTGAGTGGGTGCATTTTACGATTTGTACCAGTTGTTTCCCGCAGTTCGTTCATTAAATGGGAATACAATGCATTGTGGGAAGCAACTGAGGGATTTACTAACCCTCGATTTTTGTGCGGCGTATGCACCTGCGAGGTTTACTAGAACAGTATAGATTTTCAATTAGAATAGTAAATTTTTCAAGTTTGGGCAGGTGCCTTGCATGGTTCTTCGAGTCCCGTTTGCGCCTCGCCCATTTAGGGTCTCCGAATAATTGACTTTATAATTAGACTTTGTACATATACTGTAGTGGACCCTAATAAAGACAATAATAATAATAATAATCATTAACACAGGTGTTAACGATCTAGAACACTCTACTGCAAAAGATGTCATCAGTAAACAACTTCAGATGATCAATCTAGCTGTGAATGCTTTTCCAGGGAAAAAAATAATCTTATCTAGTATTACACAACAAACAACCCAAATGTCACACATAGCAAACAACCCAAATGTCATATATGTCAATAAATGTAACTTAAGGGAAGTAAAATATTATTACGATCACAAACACCTCAATAAGAAAAATGGTATTCCTAGAGAAGAATTACCACAACCACCAGAAGAAAAGAATATTGTTTACGTCAACGAAAAGATTCAGGAAAGTGGACTTATTCACCATCAATACTCAGTTGAGTTGTTTAACTAAATTAGTTAATATTTTGATATCTAACAGTGTACAACAGTCTAAAGTAATGTACTCACAGCCAACTCCCCCGCAAGCATTTCCGTTTTATAATCCGGTTGCCTTTCAGCAGCAGGTAGTCTAGTGCAGTTTAGTGAGTGTACAGAAAGTATTGTAGTGAGTGTGTAGAAATTATTCTGGGATGGTTATTCATTTAATTTAATTTTATTTTAATTTTGACAGACAGATTAGGCCAATTGTACTTCATGGAGGTCCAAAAGTTTTTAGAATTTTGTTCTTGGAACATCGAGGGTCTTTCTGGAAAGTTACATGATGAAGATTTTTTGTCTATAATTAATTCGTGTGATTGTATTTCACTTGTCGAAAATTGGTTAAGCGATGCTAGTGTCGTGAATTTACCAGGTTTTTATTCTTTTTCAAAATTGATGCAAAAATCTGAAAGAGCTAATAGGAATTCAGGCGGTATTACTGTGTTGATAAAATCTGAGCTAAGAAAAGGGGTTAAATTTTTGGAAAAGGAAAGTAGTGATGAGTTTGTATGGTGGAAATTGGAGAAAGATTTTTTCATATGAAGCAAGATTTGTATGTCTGCAGTGTATATATTCCTCCACAGAACTCTCCTAGAGAACAGAGATTAGACTGTGACCATTTTGAGTTATGTGAGCAAGTGAGCAAGTTTATTGACGTTATAGTTAATGTTTCGAGAAATGTCGTAAAAATTAGAAATGGGCAAACACCAAAAAAGAAACGAAAACGCACAATCCAAAAACAGAAATGGTTTAACACGAGTTGTTACCTGTTAAAGAAGGAATTAAAAAAATTGGGTAGTTTACTCTCAAACTGACCCCCAATGATCCTTTTTTAAGACATAAGTTTTTTGCTACTAAAAAAGATTATAAGCGACTTACTAAACGGCATTTCCAATAAACGAAATTTCCAAAGCGAACTGTTAAATAAGATTGAACTAATGGAGGAACATCATCCGAAGGAGTTTTGGAAATTGGTAAATTCGATAAAATCGAATAACTCGTCAGATCTTCGCGAGCTAGCGAAGGTGAGCAGACGTATTTTTTGCTCCGTATACAATTTATGTTGAACTAGATATATTGTATGTAATTATTTGCTATACATTATGCCGCCAAAGAAGAATAAAGTAAAGCCAAAGGACTCAAACAACAATCAAGAAGTCGTCGCCGATATGACCGACGAACAAACGGATCCCATTCTCGATGAAAATTTTAGCATGGCTGCTTTACAACACAACCTGGAAAAGATGATCGATCGCCGATTAAAACAGCAAACAGATCATATGAATGGTCTATTTACAAATCATTCTAAGTCAACTAAAGCAGATTTAAGCGAAATTAAGACAAGTCAAGTATTTCTCAGTTCAAAATTTGATGAATTGGTCGTCACATTAAACGAAGTCAAGGCGGTGAACAGCCAATTACGAAAGGACAACGAGCTCCTACAAACACGCGTTAACGATTTGGAGAAGCAATGTGCTGAATCTGAAGCGGCAACTGAAAGTCTTCGTCAATATTCTCGCCGAGACACGCTTGAGATTCATGGCATACCACTTATCGAAGGAGAAATTACCAATGCCATTGTAGTCGAAGTTGCTAAATTGGCCGTCCCGGATCGTGATTTTAGCGAAGCAATGCTGTCAATAAGCCATCGCCTACCCACCAGAAGCGGAAATATACCACCTATAATTGCTAAATTTGTTCAACGTGATGTACGTGATGTGATTTATAGAAACCGGAAAAACCTACGCTCCAAATCAACTGAAAATCTTGGCTACGAAACTCACAATAACAGTTATATTAACGAGAGCTTAACTGCTAAAAGTCGTGCTATATTCACTGAAGCAAACAAATTTCGAAATGAGCATAACTTTAAATTCATCTGGACTAAAAATGGTCATGTACATCTCAAGAAGAATGATAGTCAAACCTCAAGATCCAATGTATTTAAATCAATGCAGGAATTTAAAGACTTTGAACGTGGTTTCCATTGTCAGCGTGATCAACGCAGTCCCATCTCATGAACGAACGCAATCAACATGCTCTGGCCCAGCTAAGTGTTATTTATAACCTTATTATCTTTGATATCTTTCGATTGCCCTAACAGTGTTTTTCCCTTTTACACTCTTGACGATGATGGCTTTGAATTAGAAATGTATCAAATGCAACATGGTCGAGTGAATTTTGATGACGAAAGGTTATTGAGTTTAAAACTAAACCCCTTGCATCGTAATTTTCACAAGAATTTAACTCTATCTTCTAACTTAGATCCGGACTCCAACTTTCGTAATGAAAAATTTAATTGCGATTTTTTAATGAATGTAGTTTAAATAACTTATTGCTCAACTCATCTCAAAATACTAACCACTTATCTTTCATGCATTTGAATATTCGTAGTTTAAACTGTAATCTAAATAGTCTGCAGAACTTGCTCGCAAGAATAAATAATCCGTTTTCGGTCATTGGAATTTCCGAAACCTGGCTTCAGAATTCACTCCACCAGGTTGACATTAATGGGTATAACTTTGAACACAACTATCGTTCCAACAGAACCGGAGGTGGGGTTGGGATGTATATCGCATTTACACTTGATTACAAAATTCGTTCATGATTTGTGCTTTGAAAATACCGAAATTGCTGAATCGTTATTCATTGAGATTGCAAATCCCAAGGGTAAGAATTATGTTGTGGGAGTGATATATAGACCGCCCCACCAAAGTGTTGCTAATTTTATTAACGGGCTAAATATACTGATTGATAAAGTCTCCAGAGATAACAAAAAAAGTTATATCATGGGTGACTTTAACTTAGATTTATTAAATCAAAGTTTTCACCAGTTCACAAATGAGTTTCTTGACATAATGTATGCTAATATGTTTTTTCCTGCCATAACGCTTCCCACCAGAATAACCTCACACTCCGCTACGCTTATTGACAATATATTTTCTAACGATATTGATCAATATGTTTTTAGTGGTTTAATCTTATCTGACATATCCGATCACTTACCTATCTTTCTTATTTCCAATGATAACGAACCACTGACTGATGAAGCTTCATATACCGTTTTTCGTGACAAAAGCGAAAAAAATAGAAACGAATTCCGCAATCGTTTACACGACATTAATTGGTATGATCTCGAAAATATTCATGAGCCAAAAAAGGCCTACTCCAGTTTCTTGAATATTTTTACTAATCTTTACAATTCCTGTTTTTCGCTCAAAAAGATAAAAAATAAAAGGTCAACAGTTTTCAAACCTTGGCTTTCCAACGGCCTTTTAAAATCAATAAGAAAAAAGAACCAGTTGTACAAGCGTTATTTAAACTCTCCAACTGCTGACAACACGGATAGATACAAAAGATTTAAGAACAAATTAAATCATTTATTACGCATCGCGAAACGCCATTACTACGCGGACCTCATCGAGCATAATAAGTCTAACTGTAAAAAAACCTGGAGCATCTTGAATGAAGTAATCAACAAAAACAAACGACGGAATAGCAGGCTTCCATCCACATTTGTAATCAATGATAACGACTGCTCTGACTCTCCCACAATTGCTGATCATTTTTGCGATTATTTCTCCAATATAGGCCCCAATTTATCCAAAAAGTTACCTATTGTACCGGTCTCGCACACTTCTTTTCTCACTGGTAATTTCACAAATACTATGTTCTTCGAGCCGACTACAGAACAAGAGATAACTGCCGTAGTCAAATCTTTCAGAAATGGTGTTGCCACTGGATATGATAATTTACCTATCAACACTATTAAAGACTGCATAGACTTAATATCCATTCCTTTAACTCACCTTGTCAACTTGTCGATGTCATCCGGCTTTTGCCTGATCAACTGAAAATCGCTCGAATTGTTCCAATTTTTAAAACTGGTGATCGACAAATATTTTCAAATTACCGACCAATATCAATCCTGCCAATTTTCTCGAAAGTCTTTGAAAAAATTGTTTCTATTCGTTTAATTAACTACTTGGACAGGCTCCATATTCTCGT